AACTCACCCTGCCCGCTGAACTTCTTAAGGACACTATAAGAAATATAAAATGTGTCAACAAACGGAAATAAGGCGAATTGGAAACACAAAATCGGAAATAGATTAGAAATACAAAAAGCTGCTCTAAGCAGGAAATTACTGTGGCTTGAGACACGAGCACACGGCTACATGAGAACAGAAAACCGTACAAATAAAATAACGCTTCACTAAAGGCCTCCAAAACACTTAAGTTACAAGAAGAATAACACGTTACCTAAAAGAACATTGTAGCAAGATTACAAAGTGATGGCAGGACTTACCGATATGAAAATATACAAAGAAATCCAAAACAGGCCAACGAAAATTCAACACGATGAACACCAATCTCGACCCCAGAGCTCTTCTACGGGCTGGGCCGGAAGCTCTAAAAACGGCTCACAGGATTGGTTTAGATAACAACAGATAGCCCTAACCAAAACAAAACTAACAATGAACCCCAACTCTGAAACAATAGAGCTTCGGGCCAACAAGAACCTATCAAATTAGAGGTTCTAAAGAGGTTCTGGCCAACAGCTTCTACGTATGTAAGCACTAGTATATCATGTAAGCGCATGTGCGGCATAATTGGCCCCAGGGCCCATGTACGCTCATGAAATATGTACTCTCACACTCTCATTGCTAAAATTCCCTATGAATGAATGAATGAACAACTTTATTACCGTGTCAAAATCTTCTAGCTGACCACAAGTAGCCTACTAATCCGGGACACCTACGATACGGTATTTCTCGGCATATGATTCTGCACTTGACCATCTAACTGTTATTGTATAATGAGGAGTTTGAAGAGCATGAAGATGTGAAGGCAACCTCTTTTCTTACCTTATTCCTGTTTCTGCTGTCGATATACACTTTTCGTTTAATTCCCTTTAAAGGATATTAAGGTAGGATGACGAAGTTATCATAAGATATTACGTGAGAAATTTGAAGAAACACCACACCTGGCGAAACAAATAATACCTTACCAAAAGAGTCATTTTATAGCAAGCTGTTAATGAGGAAAAGTGAAATCTATAACTCCTTATTGTGGGACCGGCAAAATAGATATGGCTTTTTTATTGGCTGGAAACAAAAGACCATAAACTTTATGATCTATTGCTAAAAGCAAGATAATTTAAAAAGATTTGAAGTAGTACAGAGCTGATTATGCTGGTATAGTGATTATGCTGGTAAAGTGATCACAAGTCTACAGCTATATAAACTTGAAGCTTTCTTTAGTTAATTTTTTTTTTAGAAAGTGTTGGATGATAAATACGTTGTGATGAGGAAAACAAATAAAAATGTTGACATAATTTTTGAACGATTTGAAGGCAAAAAAGTTCGACAAAATTAATCCAAAAAAGTGATGAATGTGTACCACTGCCGTGAAAATGTTTCTTATGTGACGATTTCTTAAAATACTTAACTAGTTGTTTGTAAGACACTTTTCAGAATAAAATTAATCACCTTTGGGTGTTTGCTTAGTTTTGGCACGTGTAATAGTTGTTGGCGAACGTTGGCATGTAAATTCTGTTGCAGCTCTCTAACTCTAATAATTATACTTTACAGTGAAACCCGCCCGCCACACGACCGCCTTGTTCTTACGAAAATATTCCTTCGACCAAAGCGTAAAAAAAAACCACTGATAATTATTCCGACTTTGGTCCAACGGTTTACCGCCAGGCTTCAACTAAACTTGCCTTACGCGTGGCTGATCACCTATCTTGAATTTCTTTGCCTGTGTGAGGCAATGAACGATAACGATACTCCTGCAGACAAACACGGTACGCTTTAGGGAAATATCTTCCCTAGGAAATTTTCGTTTTGGGAGAGAGAGGGTGGGTAAGGGTCGCTTACCCCTTTCAAAGTCAATACTGTTAGGATCATGCTTTTTAAAGTTCCAGTGACTCGTACTTTTCAGTTTGAATTTTATTGCATCTTTTGTAAGACGTTGACAATATTCACACTGAAATGTACTAGTCGTTGAAGTATGTATGGCCCACATCAATTTTGAAAAATTAGCATAACGTCAAAACAGTAAACGCGGACTTTAGGCCGGTTAGAAGGTTACGTTTGTTTTTAAGGTATTGCACTGAATCAATCTTAATGAGAGTTTCAGAAACTATTATATAAATCGTGAAAGATTTTGTGATGAGGTTTAAAAAGAATTCTGTTGAGCCGTTCTCGAGTACAGAAAAGCGCTAAAAGTCAAAATTTAGAATAAAGCTGCACTAAGAAAGGCGTTGATAAAACACTCAGGTTAGTTTTCAGGATCACAAGAAAGAAAGAACCGAAATTTCTCGGAAGCAAAATATGACTTATCACCTTTAAGGGGATGGAAATTATCTGTAAAAAACTGTATCGAGACATCTTCAAAAAAGCAAAGACGACGGCAACAGCAGCAAAAACGTCACCTAGAAATGAATTCGCGCTGTTTCAAACTTCATCGCTTTTATTCCAACTCTTTTAATTTGACAAATGTTTGTGACTGTATCAACAGTTGAATTCTAAGGAACTGTTACTATCTAAGCTTACAAAAAGAAAAAGAAAGTCGTTGTCTTGCGTTTAGGTCCTTCATAAATTAAAGAAAAAACGTGAAATTAGGGAGTTTCTCGTCGTAGCCGTCCAATGAAATTAAGAAATTAACAAGAAAGTGTCATGTACGTGCAAATTTGTTGTTTTGCCAATCTAAGGGCCTGTTTACATGGAGTGGGGCCCCCGGTCTAGTGGGGTAAGTTTCTTTTGTTTTCACGCTCTGGGGGACACAAAACAAAAGAAACTTACCCCACTAGACCGGGGTCCCCCACTCCATGTAAACAGGGTCTAAACCTACTGTGCTTTTCTGCCGCTCTCGTTGCCGTCGCCGTCACTGTCGCCGTTGCTTAAGCTCCCTGATTTGGCCTCCGTTAAGTCTGTGGAAACGATCTATCGGAAGTACAATCCAGATTTAGGTAGTGACAGGTCATCAGCATGGAATTTCTCCTCTCATACCTTAAACGTCATTCGCGGAGAAACTAATGGTGGCGTCGCGAAATTTCGGCTGTTTTCTCAGGCTAGTTCAGCGCTTTTGAAATTTTAAATAGCTAATACGGTCGCACAGAACGACTTGTTATCGAGTCTATTAGTGTAAGTCAAGATAGAATAGATTATTTTCTCTTGCCTGAGCAGTGAATTTTTTTCTTTTTGCAGAACATGTATTGCAAACGATTATGGGATTTTCCCACAGTTCGTTTCCAATATGCAAATCATCAGTATTTCCAGCTGATTTTCGTTCAACTTCAGATTATCCGAATCGCCATGTGACCTACCAAAACGCGGGTCGCGCGGTCTATGACGTATTTCCGTTGCCGGTACTTGCCCTTAACAGGAGTTTCTCTCTTCTAAATGCTCATACCCAGGCTTCTCGCGCGTTGAGTTTAGGTTTTGTTCTCCCGACGTCGAACGCAATAATGAGACGGATTTTTAGAGTAACATCGTGTGGCCAGAAATACGTAAACATACAACCCAAGCTTGAGTTCACTAACTACTTCTTCAAAATTATTCCGCATCGACTAATTTATCTCGTGTTATGCCAAGAAACACTTTATTTATGCATAGAGCATTATTCCTCTCTCACAATTGGCCGTATTCTTTGAACCGAAAATGAAAAATAGAGAATAGACTTTAACCAGTCAAGCAAGAAAAACGGCTGGGGCTTGGCGGTGTTCTAAAACGTCTTGCTTTCAAATATTATACTGACCAAGGCTATATCAGTCAAAGTAACCAGTTTGCCGTTGAAGGACTGCGTGCGTGTGTGAGAGAAAAGCATGTACATTTAGAAAACTTGATAAACTTGGTAATAAAAAAAAAATCAGCAATTAAAACTCAGTTCTGGAAATAGAAATCACTTGTTGCTAAGTAACGGCCTTCCTTTTTGTACGGAATTTTCAATTTACTGTTAGTCTTTTAAAGAACAAATAATTAGTCAACGATTACTCAATCTGGCATTGTAAATATATTCGGATTCAGTAAATGTACGCACGTTCGCAAATTTTGTATTCCAGTCGTCATTCAGTGAATTCGTCCCCCGCAATAATTGCAAAACTACCGTCATAAGAAGAAGAGCTCGTCTAATGAAAGAGACGAAAACAAGTATGAACTTGAGCTAAAGGTAAACATTTTATCTGCTACAGTCTTCGAAAAAGTTTCTTTTTCATGAACGAAACCCAAATAGATATTGTCGGTATATTAAGATTTTCTGCCCTATTCCTCACATGTCACGATGATGATGTTCGTGTAATACCATTAAGCGGAACTAGTTTTCTCGCTAGGGCATCGCCCATAAAAAAACCTTTTAACGATTTTAGAGATTTTGACCACACGAAAATATTATATGCAATTAACCTCTGATAATTCTCTTAGCAGGTCAGAGCAAAAGAGGCATTCTTTGAGCCCAGAAACAGCAGGACTCTACGGTTTAAAACTGAAAAAAAAGGTATTTTGTCAAACTTTGAACAGCCGAAAAGATATCTAAAGCATACCAGTCGTGACTTGACTTCACTGAATTTGACATAACCTTGGTTTCTTTCTATTAGACTTTTCGATTGTTTAGAATGACCATAGTTTTCCCCGCACATAATAGGAAACACAAAGATCATGATATTAGTTTTGAAAGCAGTCGAGTTGAAATAAGTTCAGAAATGTAACAAAATGATTCTAAATCCTGATTTAGTGGGTAAACATCGCATACGCGCAGGATTCCACACCCAAATTTTGCGGCAGTCATCGAGCGAAAATTGTGTTAAAAGAGTTACAAGTAAATCTAAGAGGAGTTTCCGAGAGCTATACAAGCCGCATGGCTCTTTTAAATTACTTTCTCGGGTCTGCAATATTTTTTTCTTCCTGCGTGAGCTTATGGGATTGTTTCATGGCAAAGGTTGGGCGTTCGTTTAAAAGCAACTTACCCTTAAAATGTGTTGTTTTTTCAGTAGTCTTCCCTCAGAGGTATGATGAAGTTGGGATCGCTGATGATCGTTTTGGTCTTATTAACCCATGCCTTGATCACCGATGGTAAGGCAAAATAGTCAGAAAAAAGAAACGGTCAATTCAATAAAACCAATGCCAGCAGGTGTAGAAACCATAATGGCCGTCAGTATTCATGTTTCCCGTAGGAAATTTACAATTACAAATAGCTTTTGTCTTCTATTATCCTAATGTTGAGGAACAAGTGCTTGATTGATAATACCAGCGTAGCCGAACTCTGTGAACGTACAATTAAAGGGGTGAACTCTTTTCCAAGGTGTCAAATCTAAGTACACTGTAATATAATAACTCCGGTTTTTCAGTTCTAGAATTATTCCTGAAGATTTCAGGCTACAATGCATCAATAAATAAAAACGTTTTATTTTACTGAGCTGTCTTATGAATAGCCGTTCTTAAATGCTTCAGGGTTTGTCACTATACGTAAAAGCACTTAACTTCCTTTATCACTTGAGAGAAACCTTATTCGTCTAAAAACAGATAGAAATGACATTGCTTCGCTTTCAGTTTCTCTCAAAATGGTTTTATGAATCAGAACTGCTGCGCTGCTTTCACGATTTACAAATAAGAGTATAGTAGATGTACCTGGGTTATCGCTTAACTTTTGCCAAATTAAAGATGACGTTTTTAACTTCAACTACCAGAATTTAGTTATTTCATTTTTACTTTCTAATTTAAATTTACTATTCTGGTAGTTGTAATCAACATCAAAGTGATGTTATGGTGTCCTATTAAGCAACTAATCCTTTGCCGTAGTTACTTACGATCAGAGTCAGCCAATCAAAACGTAGCCAATCTATCAAACGCTCTGCACGTACATCCGTCATGTACATGTTACATTTTCATTTTGCCACTGCATATCTACAGCATTGTTGGATTTTTTAAGGGGGCTATAAATACACGACGAGCAATTTTTCTGAATCCTCATGAATTTGGACGTAAGTCCATAACTTCGCCTATATTTGATAAATTTAGCCACTTGAAATAATGATCGCGGAGAAACATTAATTTCAGTCGCGTCGCATTTGATTGGGTATATCAAAGGATTGGAGAGCTTAAGCAAGGCCATTTTTGAACGACGCTCGCGCGTCAGCCGGAAGTGGACGTTTTGCCTTTTTGGGCAGCGACCTTGGCCGTTTTTTGGGACAAATCGTCTGTATATGAGTAAAGAAGCTTAACAAGACAGATTTGGTAGCAACAAGGCATATTAAAATGAAGAAGGGCACACTTAGGGTCGACGTGCGTCGTCTAAAAATGTCCTTGCTCAAGCTCCCTAATGATAAACTTAATACACGTGCGGTTGTTTTTTTGCTCACAATCATGTTGTTGCCGGTCGCCATCGCCGTCGTAGTTTCCTTAGGTCATTACAATTGTGAGACCGGTGGCGATGAACAGTGGAGTCAACTAGACTAAAGTTAAAAAAACTTTAGCAATGTACACAATTGAACTACCTATCTAAATCTATGGATCCGCCCTCGCTGTGGGCAAACCTTGGTTTATTGAGATTTTGGGGGATGCCATTCCCAAAGAAAGAAGACATGTTCGTGTTTAGAGCTAAGCTGCTTCGCCATGTTCAAACGTCAGAGACGTTTTATCGTTTTACTAAGTGAGATTATTTACTTGCGTTAAAAGAAAACCTGGGGAAGGATGGACATTATATATTTAACAATTATTCCACGAGGGCACGTTGGATATGAGATGATAGATAGCCAACGAGGCGCATAGCGCCGAGTTGGCTATAATCATTTCATATCCAACAAGCCCGAGTGGAATAATTGTTTTATTAAAAACGCCCACAAAATCTCGTTGATTCGACCCGACTCGAGCAAACCGGAAAAGACAAGGGACTTCCGCTATTCACATGTCACACGTCTATCAAAACTGTCAACGCGCGAACGGACTCGCCAAGACTGCATGAATGAAAAATCAAAACATTGTAGCGATGAACATTAGTTTTTTAAAAACTCATCGTGATTCTAGGATTTTACACAGCAAAACAGCTTAAAAAACCTTGCAGATAATGTGAAGGAAAGGAATTTTTAAGTGACAGCCGTCGAAATTACTATGACTTTGGATTTTCGGTGCAGTTATAAAAGTAAGAACAACGGAGAAAAACTACCGGTATTACCTCGGTCGCTTGTTATGAAGTTGTTTGAAGCCACAAGCTGGTTTTGCTGAACGAGAAAAGAAGCTATACTGCCGCCTCGATTGCTCTAGTGAATGGCTGCATAGCCTGTATTTGTAGCTGGTTACTTGTGATTTATATTCTTGATGTCGGATAAACAAGCTGCAGTTATCTATCGGCGAGTGACTCGATCGGTGAATGGCTTCGCGACCATGAAGAAACAACACTTGTCTTCTTTCGTAGCTGGTCAAGGTACTTTAGTTCCATGTGTTTTCATGTGTTTTTCCACAAACTTTCAAACAAGCTCTTGCGGCTTTTTTGTTTGTTTTTGTCTTTTTTCTTTCGTTGAAATTGCATTTCTAGTATTCTAAGAAATGAGTTAAAACGATTTGCTTCGGGCGCCGTGCTATCCTTCGCGAAAAAAATCTCAGCTAGCTTCCAATTTTAAACTGACGCGTACACCGACCATATATGGAGAACATGGTATATTAGCTCATATGCCATAACGGCTAAGCCAATCAAAATGCTAGAATTGCATTATCCAATGATTCAGTTTTTGATAAAGTTAATTAGTTCATACAAGGATCTTTACATTTTTCTTAAATTATGAGCTCCTCGTTGAATCAATCTAGGGAAAATAATGGAAAGGCAATCAATCAAGTTTGCAGACTTCTCGGGAAACAGAAGAAAGACCTAAAATAACTTTGAAAATTGGCACTCAATGGCGCAAAGGTCTACAATTCTCGATCTGCAGTTTTATTTTTCGAAACTTAGAGCCGTTTTTAGTAAACCTCTCCACTGTTTAGTAAATTGACACTGTATGGGTATTATACATCAAACCTGAATATTGGAGAATATGAAAACCTTTATAATTTTTTTTTTGAAGAATTCTCTCAGTTAGAGGTAGAGCCGAGCAATGTAGCATATAAATATGTAAAGCTCACAAACAAGGATAGAGAAAGGAAAAAAAGCCGAGATAAATAAAATTAAGATATTATTAATTTGCAATCAAGCAGAGTTTTCAAGAAATTTTCGTTATTGTGTTGGGTAAATCAATATAATCATTTTCATCTGAAAGTTTTTGGACTAAAGTGTCGTGGATATTGCCTTAAAGCTACATACTGAGAACTGCTACTCGTCATTTTATTGACTACTTTCCTTTTGTCTCTCACAGGTACTTGCGTGAAGAAATTGGACATAGTAGTAGTCTTGGATGACTCAACAAGTGAAGGAATTGATGGCTTTCATTCAATAAAAGAGTTTGTGATCGGTTTAATGAGGGATATGGAAGTAGGCCCGGATAAAACTAGTGTATGCCTAATACTAGTGCACCTTAATCCGACCGTGGAGTTTAACTTTAAGAATTATTCCTCCAAACTTGAACTGGAAATGGCTGTTTCTGAGCTGATCTACAGTAAAGGAGCAACAGGTAATATTAGTCATCTTCCTTACAAACATAAAACTAATTTATCGGCTGGTCTGAGATTGCCTAAAAAAATGGAAACTCCCCAGTCGCTTTCATTTTCACGGTAAGTTGATATAATTTTGGGCACAAAAAAAACCTCGGGAACTCAAAGTTTAAATTTTCTTTGAGTGGACAACCGCCCACGTTTTAGTTTTTTCAAGCTTCTCCTTGTATAAGTGAGACATAAATAAAAACGGACGTACTACAGGCATTATTATAAACTGATGTACGGCAGGCGGTGATGTATAATCTCGTCGTCACTAAGTTTCTTCTATCTGTTTCTATGGCAGTTAATATCAAGTGTTGTCCGGTTAATTTCTCCCATTCATCAAATCTAGAACCACATCTCCTCTAGTGAGTTTTTGTGGGGGAGTGCAGCGTTTTCAACAGGCCTATGAAAAATACGGCCTAAGTAGAAAGAACCATCAATGTCAAGAATATGAACTCCTCTTGATTTCGATCCGTTTCATAACTCCTCTCTAAGGTGATGTTACACGAGGCGATTCGCAACGACGATTTTAAGCGCAACATTGTTGCGACATTGTTTCGAATGGCCACAACATTGCTCCAACATTGCAACGCTGTGTTTCGCTAAAAATTGCCGTTGCGAATCGTCCCGTTCAACATCACATTTACTGGTTCCGCAATCTTCGTTTACAGGGATTAAAGATAGTTTGAAGAAGGCGGCAGCTGAACTTTTTAACCCACAGGCTGGCGCAAGACCCGAAGCGACGAAGTTTCTAATTGTCTTCTCTGACGGCGACTTCATCCCTTTCTCGTTAGTAAGTATCAGAAAGTTGTTTGGCTCAGCTCAGTTTAAAAGTGAGGTAGGCTAAAAATTATTACCACGCAAACTAGTTTGGGCTGACGACATAAGCCTTATGTTCCAGATGCTACGCCTATGCTATCGTCAGAATAGGTCCTTTTATGTTCGTCCTAACCACGCTCGACATCACCATCAGGGTCTAAGGCCGCACGTTATCATGGCGTCTTCATCACGAATTTTAAATGAAGGAAAATGTTAAACTCAAATTGAAAGAAAAGAAAATGATACGAGACAAGATCTGTTGTAAGGAGCTTTAATTCCTCCAATATTGATGACGTTAGCTTAGACTGGTGATGAAAAAACTTTCTTAAGCCTGGTTTTCACTAGCGACGGAGTTGGAGTCAGAATCGTAAGTGGAGGGTTATAACAGCGCTTACGACCTTGTAAAAATCAAACATTGGGGTCGTAAGCGGAGTCATAGGAGCGACGGAATCGAAGCCGGAAGAATCAGAACGTTTCCATTTTCTTCTGATTCCGCTTATGAATCCGTCGCTTACAATCAACTGAACACCAGATAGTCGGAGTAGGAAGCAGATCAATTACTTCTTTCGCTACTGTTTGCGACTCCGACACTGCCTAGTTTTTATTTGATCGCGGAATCAGAACGCTGCTTTCACTCCAACTCCGACTCCGTCGCTAGTGAAAACCAGCCTTAATGAACGTCTTTTTTCACCTCAATTAAACCTACAGGATGACTGGATACGCGGCATCAATGTACTGGCTGTAGGAAGCGGACAAACAATCTACGAGGATTCGCTGAAGAAACTTGTTAAACAACCAATAAAAGACTTTTTCACTACCAACGAGAATACACCAAAAAATGTGACAGCACGCATAAGGGAATTGGCTGAAAGGAAATGTGCCTAATTTTATTCCATCATTATTATTTTATTATCATTTACTGTAAATACCATAATATAATTTGAAGACGGTTAGGACTGGTATTCATAACAAACAGACAAACATGCCGCGTCTGCAATTGTAAAAAATAAATGGCAAGATTTGCCAGCCTGTAGCCATGTATGGGATACGCCCGAGACGCAAATACCTTCATATCGAGTCTCAGACTGCCCCCCAAAATTAGAAATATGCTCTCGTCCACACGTATCCCGATATGTTTGAAAACAGAGATTTTTTCCGTTGTCGAAAAAACACGCGTGCACAACACGAGAATGCTAAAACGACGGAGATACGAAAGCATCAATGACAGGACATGTGCTGTGTGATTATGACATTATCGTATTAAAAAACCTCCGTTTTCGTTCGTACACACGAAAAGAATTAGCCGGGCGTTTTTAAAAATTTCCACTTTAGGACCCGTTTTCCAAAACCTTCGTTCTGGACACCGGAAACGCCATTTACGTGAGGAGGAAGGCGAAGGCTATGTTCACACCATACGGTATAGTTTTTTCAAGGCGCCAAGTAAAGCTATCTAGTACAGTATGAACAGCAACGGCACGTGACTGCACAGTTTGGCTGCACAAACATCGTGCTGGAGCGGTTGGCCGAGAGGGTTTGGTGCACTCATAGATTCCAGTCCTCACTCCTGAATATTTACCTCCGTCCCAGTAGGTTCCAGTCGTCACTCCTACCTATTTACTGCCGCAACAGGCCGAATAGGTGTTCACTTTGCACCAAAGTACGGCAAAAAACCTATCCGATAAGTCACGCTCCACTTTCGAGATCGGCGCGGCACAGCTTCTCTCCGTCACGGAAATTGTGACGTCACAACCGTTCATGTGTGTAAACAGAAGCTTATGCGGTATGATTTTCTTGACGGCGCAAAAGCTTTTCGATGCTGAGTGAACATAGCCTAAAACCGGAGGAAAAATTCTCCCTTTTCAGAAATACCCGGCCGATATGTGTGGACGGGGCCTTATACGTGTCCATACGTAGGGCATTTGTTGGGAATTTTAATTGCCACTTCTTCTTTGGAGTGCTGCAAATACCCCACGGTGGGGCCAGCAGATTTAAACAAAAACACTACTGTGGGTCTTGTAAAAGACAACTGAACAAATCCCCCAGCTGATGTTATGGTGTCCCATTAAGCGACTAATCCTTTGCCGTAATTACTTACGATCAGAGTCAGCCAATCTACGAAACGCTCTGCACGTACGGGGTGCATCCGTCATGCATATGCTACATTTTCATTTTGTTACTGCACATCTACAGCATTAGACATGTTGGACTTTTTAAGGGGGCTGTAAATACACGACGCGCAATTTTTCTCAATCCTCATGAATTTAGACGTAAGTCAATAACTTCACCTGTTTTTGATAAATTCAGTGACTCGAAATAATAATGAAATAGAGTTTCAGGAATTCAGTATTATATTATACATCGTGAAGATTTTGTGATGAGGTTGAAAAAGAATTCTGTCGAGCCGTTCGAGGGATATACAAAAAAACCGCTAAAAGTCAAAATTTAGAATAAATTTGCGTTCAGAAAGGTGGTGAGAAAATAGGTTAGTTTTCAGGATCACAACCAGAGAAACAAAATACACCGGCAGCAAAATATGACTATATGACTTATCACTTTTAAGGCGATCGAAAATATCGGAAAAAACTGTATCGAAAAACCTTCAAAAAAGCAACGACGACGGGAACAGCAGCAAAAACGTCACCCAGAAGTGAATTCGCGCTGTTTCAAACTTCATCGCTTTTATTCCAGCTCTTTTAATTTGACAAAAGTTGGTGATTACATCAGAAGTTGAATTCTAAAGAACTGTATCTAAGTTTACAAAAAGAAAAAGAAAGTCGTTGTCTTGCCTTAACGACCTCCATAAATACGAAATTAGGAAGTTTCTCGTCGTAGTCGTGAAGTGACGGCAAAGAAGTGTACAAGAAAGCGTGATGCACGTGCAAAGTTGTTGTTTTACAAATCTAAACCAATTGCTTTTCTGCCGTTTTCGTTGCGTCGTCTTTGTTTAAGCTCCCCAATACAGCTGTATAGCCGCCGTGACGTCATGTAAAAACGATCTATCGGAAGTACATCCCAGATCTAGGTAGTGACACGTCATCAGTATGGATTTCTCCTCTCTTTCCTCAAACGTCATTCGATGGGAAACCAATGGTGCCGTTGCGAAATTTCGGCTGTTTTCTCAGGCTAATGCAGCGCTTTTGAAATTTTAAATAGCTATTACGTTCACACAGAACGACTGGGTATCGATTCTATTACTCTGACTCAAGTGAGAATAGATTACTTTCTATTGTCTGAGGAGTGAATTTTTTCTTTTAGCAGAACATGTATTATAAATGATGATGAGATATGCAAATCAACAGTATTTCCGCTGATTTTCTTTCAACTTAAGATTATCGGAATCGCCACGCGACCTACCGAAACGCGGGTCGTGCGGTCTATGACGTATTTTCTTCCCGGTACTTGCCCTTAACACGAGTTTCTTTCTGCTAAATGCTCATACCCAGGCTTCTCGCGCGCTGAGTTTAGGTTGCGTTCCCCGACGTCGAACGCAATATAGAAACGATTTCTAGAGTAACATCATGTGATCAGAAATACGTAAACAAAAGGCCCAAGCTTGAGTTCACTAACTGTTTCTTCAAAGTTCCGCACCGACTGATTTACCTAGTGTTGTACCATGAAATACTTTATTTATGCATAGTGCATTGTTCCTAAACCTAACAGTTGCCCTATTTTTTGAACCGAAAATTAAAAATAGAGAATAGAACCAGTAAAGCAAGAAGACTGGAGATAAGCAGTGTTCTAAAGCGTCTTGCTTTCAAATATTATACTGGTCAAGGCTATATTAATCAAAGTAACGAGTTTGCCGACGAAGGGCTGCATGCGTTTGTGAGTAGACTGTTCACAGTCCCCTATTTTTTCGTGAGATCGTTTAGATATACCGCGTCTTACCGTCACGGCTACAAACCGCCCCCACCCCCTAGGTAGTTTTGACACCCATGCTAGATGGGTAGCCCGTAACGCAAAGCTCTCGATCTCGATGATCTTACGGAAAAATAGAGGACTGTGAACAGTCTAGTGTGTGCGAGAAAAGCATGTACCTTGTGAAAACTTGATAAACTTGGAAATAAAAAACTTCAGCAATTACAACTCAGTTCTGAAAATAGAAATCACGTGTTGCTAACTAACGGCTTTCCTTTCTGCACGGAATTTTCAATTTACTGTTAGTCTTTTAAAGAACAAATAATTATTCAACGATTACTCAACCTGGCATCGTAAATATATGCGTCTTTAGTAAATGTACGCACGTTAGCAAATTTTGGTATTCCAGTCGTCATTCAGTGAATTCGTCCTCCGCAATAATCGCAAAACTTCGATTCCGTAAAAGAAGAAGAGCTCGTCTTATGAAAGGGACGAAAACAAGTATGAACCTGCGCTAAAGGTAAACATTTTATCTGTGACAGTCTTCGAAAAATTAAAGTATCTACCCAAATAGATATTGTCGGTATATTCAGATTTTCTGCCTTATTCCTGACATGACATGATGATGAAATTCGTGTAATAACGATTTAAGAGATTTTGGGCGTGATCACACGAAACTATTATATGCAATTAACCTGTAATAATTCTCTTAGCATGTCAGAGCAAAAGCGGCGTTCTTTGAGCCCAGATTGTTTTTTTCAAACAGCAGGACTTACGGTTTAAAACTGAGTCAAAGAAGGTATAAATAGCGGGAAAGATAACTAGAGTGTACCAGTCGTGACTGACTTCACTGAATTTGACATGTAACTTTGGTTTCTTTCTACAAGACGGTTCTAATGTTCAGAACGACATAGTTTTCCCCGCACATAGAAACACAAAGATCATGATATTTGTTTTGGAAGAAGTCATTTTGAAATAAGTTCAGAAATTTTTATAAAATGATTCTAAATACTGATTTAGTGATAGTGAAACATCGCGTGCGCGCAGGATTTCACACCCAAATTTTGCGACTTAAGCGAGAATTGCGTTAAAAGTTTTAAGTTATACCCAAGAGGAATTTTCGAGACTGTTAATCGCTGTTTTAACTATACCAGCCGCACGGCTTGTTTAATTTACTTTCTCGGGATTGCAGTATCAGTTTTGCTTCCTGCTTCATATAGATTGTAAACTTTAAATTTCATTTCAATTCAAAGGTTGGACGATCGATTAAAAGGCAACTTACCACAATGGGGCTTATTGCTACTCTTTAAAATGTGTTGTTTTTTAGTCTTCCCTCAGACGTATGATGAATTTTGGATTGGTGATCATCTTTTTGGTTTTATTAACCCATGCCATGTTTACCGATAGTAGGGTAAAATACTTAGAAAAAGAAAGTGTCAGTTCAATAAAAGTGATGCCCCCAGGTGTAGAACCGTAATGGCTGCGTCAGCATTCATGTTTCCCGTTGAAAAGTTTCAATTTACAAATAGCCTTTGTCCTCTACTGTCTTAACGTTGAGGAACAAGTGCTTGATTGATAACACCCGCGTAGCCGAACTCGGCTGAGCACGTAAAATTAAAGGTGTACATTCTTTTCCAAGACGTCAATTTCTCAGTACACTGTAATAGTTCTGTTTTTTTAGTTCTAGAATTATTTCTGAAGACTTCAGGTTACTATGTATCAATAAACAAAACCGTTTACTTCACTGACCTGTCTTATGAAAAGCCTTTCTAATGCTTCAGGGTTTGTTGACTATTAGTAAAAGCACTTACGGCTTCCTTTATCACTAAAGATGAACCTAATTCGTTTTAAAACAGAAAGCTTTTCCTCTCTAAATGATTGTTAATGAATCAGAACTGCTGTGCAGCTCTCACGGTTTACTAATAAGGGTAGACGTTCCTGCTTTAACACTTAACTTAACGTAAACGTCTTTAACTTCAACTACCAGAATTCAGCCATTTCATTTTTACTTTTTTATTTAAATTTGA